CACAGGCCGGAAGGGTGGCTACTTACAGGGGGAGGTGTGGGCCAGGAGCTGGTGCTCTAACTCTGCCATCCTGGGGCGCTTCAGCCAGGCTGATGGGCCCCACTGATCACCAGGGTTCCTGCCGGTTCTAATTCATCACTTCCAGGATGTGTAGCTCACAGAACATTTCTGAGACTATTTTCCTGGCTTTATTGAGACAGAATTGAACAATTCTAAAATATGTATATTTAAGGTATAAAATGTGAAGTTTTGGTATATGCAAACAATGTGAAATGAGGACCGCCATCAAGCTCATAAACATTCCCATCCCTTCACATGGTTGCCATTTGTGTGTGTGGTGAGAATATTCCAGGTGCGCTTTCTCAGCAAATTCCGAGTGTGCAGTTTATCACTATCAACTACGGCTGCCATGCTGTGTGCCAGGTCTCCAGAACGTACTCATCGCATAACTGAAACTTGGTGCCCTTCACCAGCTCTCCATGTTCTTCACTATCCAACACCACCCTTCTACTCTGTTTCCATGACTTGGACTTTTTAGGCTAATGGCTTGGTGAAAATCTGTGACATATGCACAGATGACCTGGGCTATGTGAGCACTGGGGCCACCTTTTAACCGTGGGTGATGTCTTGGAACTCCGAATGCCCAGGTACTTCCAGGGATATGCATGGGGCTGTATCACCCCTGCCCTGTGACCCAGGAGCCCGCTGCTGAGGGAGGAATGCCACCCAGTGGTCCTGAGCTTCCACACGGGGTCCCACCCCTCACTCACTTGCATCTCTTTCACAGAAAAGCTCAGGAGCACGGGTCATTCTCTGTGCCTCATTTTCTGAGGCACGGGGCTGGAAAGTGAGCCCATGGGGAAGGATGTGGTGAGCCATGAACGTGTCAATGTGTGGAAAGCACACAGTGGTGGTGGGGTTCCCCTAGAGAACGTTGATGTGGCACTTGTGCTGTGTAGGTGGGACACGTCTCCTGAGAAGACACACTCCCACACACACTTCCACACACACTCAGTCACACCACATGACACCCATGAAGACCCCCCCAGAGTCCCATGCGCACAAACCCACCCACTTAGAGGGACATGGCTCCTTCAGGGACTGTACAATGAGACCAGGGTTCTTCACCTGCAAAAGCCGCTCCTTCCACCACCCTGCCTTGTGCCCAGTGGGAAGCTGGAATGAGATCTCCAGACTGAAGGCAGCAGGAAAGCCCCGCCTTTCTTTTCACCTGGATTTTTCATCAGTGAGTCAGTGATTGCAGAATCCAGGCTGTTTTCCTGGGGTCACCTACAATTACAGGAGAGAAGAGACCATGAGGACCAGTCACGCTGCGTGGAATTTCTCAGGTCTTTTGCTCCCGCTGTGAACACAGAGTACTCAATGGAAAGCAGTGGTCAAAGGCCCCAGAAGCCAGCACAGACACCTTGAAGGAGGTGCAGGCTTTCCCTGGAGGACGCGTCTCTCTAGTTCACTGTGGCTGCCAATCACCACACTCTTAATCCAGAGAGAATTTGCTGCTGGGCAAAACTTCCCCTTTCACACAGCTCGAAGCCTGATACTGCCCCTCCCGACTGCCCTCTCCAACCAGTGTCATCTGGAAGAGTCGGCCAGGGTCAGTGCAGGCTGCTAGAACAAGGCTGGCTGGGCGAGGAGGCTCCTGCCTCTTACCCTAGTACCTTGGGTGGCTGAGGCAGGTGGATTGCTTTGAGATGTTGATCCCCACCTGCGGGGGCCGGGCCTGCAAACCCTGACTTTGTGACAGATGAATAAATACCCTCCACACATAAAGTACCGTGAACAAGTCAGCTGCTCTCAGAGGGCCATTGAGCTACCCAAGCCTTCAATCACTGTCCCTCCTAGCATTTATTCAGTTTATATTTAATGACAGAAGTTCTAAGTCAACATGCTTGTGGATAGTTAACACTGTAAAGGTTTGGTTCCAGGGCCCAGAGCAAACACCATTAAGGGGTAATCTCCCTTTGACCTTCTCCCAGAGGGCCATTGGCTCAAAGGTTAGTTTTCAGACCACATGAGTAAACAAGGGAGCTAGAGACAAAGGAAGGTGGGGTGAACAGACTTAACTGGGGAAGCTTCTATTACCCCTAATTTTTACCTGTGACCTCATGCTCTAAGGTAAGAACTGGCTGCCTTCAGCCTATTCCATTATTACAAGTTATGAAAATCTTTTTGCCTTCCAGAATGTTTGAGTCTATATCTTATAACTTTCCCTGATATTTCCCTTAATATCTGGCCAGCCACCCTGAGTGAATCCCAACATTGCTTGAGGCCAGGAGATCCAGAACTGCCTAGGCAACATAGTGCGACCCCCATCTCTACAAAAATATAGGGAAAATTTGCCTGGCATGGTGGTGTGCAGCTGTGGTCCCAGCTGAGATGGGAGGATCACTTGAGCTCAGAAGGTCAAGGCTGCAATGAACTCAGATCACACCACTGTGCTCCACCCTGGGCAACACAGTGAGACCCTGTCCACAGAAAAGAAAAGGTAACCCAAATACCATGGGCTGGGTGGTATAAATGCAGTGTTTTCTCAGTTCTGGAGGTTGGGATGTTTCAGAGCAAGGTGCTGGCACCATGGACCAACATGGCATGATATTTAATGTCTATTGAAGAAGCTACATACTCTATGATTCAAGCTAGGTGTCATTTTGTAAAAAGGCAAACTCTAGAGACAATTTAACAAATCACCTGTTTCCAGCTGGGTGTGGTGGCTCATGCCTGTAATCCCAGCACTCTGGGAGGCCAAGGTGGGCACATCACTCAAGGTCAGGAGTCAGAGACCAGCCTGGCCAACATAGGGAAAGCCTGTCTCTACTAAAACTGTGGTGGGGGGCACCTGTAATCACAGCCACTTGTGAGGCTGAGGCATGAGAATCACTTGAACCTGGGAGGTGGAGGTTGCAGGGAGCCGAGATCGCGCCACTGCACTCCAGCCTGGGTAACAGAGTGAGGTTGGTCTTAAAAAAAAAAAAAAGCTGTTTCCAAGGAACAGAGAGAAAGAATAACAGGTGAAGCACAGGGGGTGGTCAGCAGCAGAACAATGAATGCATGCAAGGTGGAGCAAGACATTGCAAATTAAAAAAAAACCATGAAAATGCAAAATAGAAAGTTATAATAATGCTAATACGTAAGTTAATAGTGTGTAAATATTGGTTCATTAACTATGACAAATGCACCATTCTGATACAACAATTATGGGGGAAATGGAGGAAAAAGGCCTGTGCTAACTTCAGTTTCTGTTCTATTTTTTGCTAATGTAAAAATTATCCAAATAATAACGTCTATTAATTGAAGAGTCATTTGGCAACACTATTTTAGGTGGAGATCTATTGCAGCAAATGTTTAACAATCAGTTAATGTCTCATCAGGAGCTTCAGATGTGTTTCGCTATTAAATGTGAACCAAAGCTGAGCTGTTGAGTGTATCTTCCTGTGGTTGAAACACTACTGATTGAACAGTAAATTAAATTTTTCTCACATGAATAACAATATGGCTTAGCATTTTTATTGATTTATTTTAAATATGCAACTTTGGAACAAACCTGCAATCGTTATTCTTGAATCAACATAAGGGCTGAGTATCCGCAGTGCCATCAGCTCACCGTCTGCAGGTGTGCCTGTGCTTGGTCGGGGACCCCTTCTTCACTTGCTGCTGGTCTGGGGCTGTATAGATTCTTGAAGGAGGAAAATGCTTTTCTCCTCAAATTCATCAGCTAAGATCCTGGGAAATGCACTCACAGTAAAGAGAGCTGCTGACATCTTGTTGGCAGAAGACCAGAGGAAACGGACCATAATTTATGCAGAGCTCACACCATGGATCCCACTGCACTGACTCCCCGACAGCCTCTGAGCCAACGCTGGGCTTTCGGAAGATCTTGGGTTTTCACGTGCACTTGAAACACCAAGAGAAAGGTTGTGTGGAAAATGCCTTTATGATGAGATGGTCCAGAAAGGCAGCTGAGCAGAGTGACTGAGCATGGGGGCTGGGACCTGAGGGCCTGGGCTCAGTCCCACTTAGAGCCACGAGAACCAGGGAACGTCCTGCAACCCCTCAGCCTCTAGTTCTCTGCACTGCCATCTAAACACTTTAATAGGGCTGACAGGTTAGCATGACGAGGCCAAAGATCATTGGACAGAGTTAAAGCTTTAGAAAAAGCGGCTGATTCTTCAATGCTCCATGATTCCTCCATCATTAAATGCCTGGGAGAAGAAGCTACGCACTTGACAGTGGGTGACCAGAGAGGGGACATGGATGCTCCAGGGCAGGGGAGGGTGGAGGTTGGCTTTTCTTCATTTGCCTGTGTGAGAGGCTTTACAGCGTATGGACAGTACATGCGATCATCTCCTGTGATGTCCACGTCAGCCCTGAGGGTGGGCAGAATAGGAGCTGTGGCCTGTGCTTCACAGGTGGAAGAAATTCTCCTAAAGGCATGTGACCTTCCAGTCACCACACTGCTGTGTGATGCACCCCGGGCAGAAACATACCTGAGGCCTAGGGGCCAGAGATGTCTTCACACTTCAGACCTCCAGATCATGCTCTAGACCCCCCAAAACATGAACTCCCCTGACTCTCAAGATGTCCTGACCCAAGGTTTCTGTGGGAGGGCTGATGTCCTGGAATAGATGCCTGAGCCCAGAAAAGAGCTTGGACACAAGACCCGGCCTCTGTCTCTTCCTTTCCATCCCAGACCCCAAACAGGATGTGGTTTACCTCAAATGAAGTCCCTTGGAAAGACGAGGGTGATTCAAAACAGGGCAATCCCTTCATAGCAGCGTCACAGTCAGCTGCCATGGGCTACACGTTTCCAATGATCAGTTGGTTACAAGGGACCCCTGCAGCCAACTGACCCCTAACTGTATTAGAAAGCAACATTATAAACTGTCACATGACCGCTTCGCTTCCCTCCACTTGACCAACTGTGGGTGAGCAGCTAATGCCCTTGTCTGATAAGTGACGCCTGGGCTGGAGTGTCAGCTTGATGAACTCAGTTTATAAAGCTTCCCGCCTGACTTACTATTGATCTGAGCCACTGTCTGTGCAGCTGGACTAAGGCCTGGCTGAGGATGGGCAGTGGCTGCACCAGCACAGAGTGGACCTTTCTTCCTGTTCATTTCTTCCAAACCAAAGTTCAGCGTCTTCAGACTCCTATTGCATCCCAAGCCCTGCAGGGACAATGCACAGAGTCCCTTCTCCTTTTTGAGGGAACCCTCCACAGCTACAGCCTGGAGACCCCACCCCAGGACTGTCCCTGAGGACCACCCAGGTCCTATTTCTAACCAAATGTCCATTCCTCTAACCTGAGGCTCTGTCTCTTCTCACCACTCTCCCCAGCAGCACCCTAAACAGTAGGGATCCTGTCCTCATCCCACCACATTTATATCCATATCAAAACCCCAGTCTTTCCTTTACAAAACCAAAATGTGGCACACATACACCATGGAATACTGTGCAGCCATAAAAAAGAGTGAGCTCACGACTTTTGCAGGGACATAGATAAAGCTGGAAGCCATCATCCTCAGCAAACGAACACAGGAACAGAAAACCAAACACCGCATGTTCTCACTCATAAGTGGGAGCTGAACAATAAGAACACATGGACAAAGGGAGGGGAACATCACATACTGGGGTGTGTCAGGGGTAGGGGGCAAGGGGAGGGAGAGCATTAGGATGAATACTTAACACATGTGGGGCTTAAAACGTAGATGACAGGTTGATAGGTGCAGCAAACCACCGTGGCACATGTATACCTGTGTAACTAACCTGTGCATTCTGCACATGTATCCCAAATTTAGTAAAATAAAATAAAAAAAAAAAAAACCTCGGAATCAAGATTACTAATGTACTGTGTGATATTTTGGCAACAGTATTCAAAAGAGTTTGAATTTTAATTCACCTTTCTTGTCATGTCTTTTACAGAATTTGCTATCATGGTTTTCCCAGTTAAAAGAGAGCAGTGTGAGCGTGTTCTTGTACATACAAAATTGAAATTACTTCTATTTAAAATATAGATAGACTCACAGGGAGACAATAAGGATGGACACTTGCATGATGGAATGATAATATTTGCATTAGTTTTTAGGTGATGGTTGTTTTACCCGCGGCACAGTGCACACATATGACATGCGCAGACGGCTGCCTTCTTACAAACACTGTCTTACCACCGCCCAGATGTAAATCCCCGGCAGTCCCTATGCAGCTAATTTCCAGGCAGTAACCCCAGGACATACCTACCCTGATCATGATCAACACATTTTAAATTTATTTTTAAACATCATATAAATGCAAACCTACAGTATGTACTCTTTTGTTTCTGGTTGAAAATTATATGTGAATATGTGAATTTCACCCATGTTCCACGTGATGAAGCGTTTGTCATTTTGTACTGCTGAGTCAGTATATAACATTGTAGAAAGCTGGCACAACTAGTTTACACCTCTGTGTTTTTTACATTCACTCTGCTGTTTCTCATGATGGTTGTTTGAAACAAGGCATCTGTAAAGTCCCCCAGGTGGACACCAACATCCTTGGCTCATACATGTCTGTTGGACATAGATGGCAGGAGTGGGACTGTAGGGTCACAGGTGCTGATGACTGTAGTACACACTAGAAAGCCATTTATCAAAATGGTTGAAACTAAGTATGTTCCCAGAGTAACCTGACAGTTCAAATTCCTCCACATCCTCACCACCCTTTGCATTTTTGTCTCTGATAACGTGCCTATCCTGGTGGGTGTAAGAGTGAGAAACTAGTTTCAATGTGGACTCTGCTAATGACTTGGGATTGAGTGCACTTTCATGTGCTGAACTTGCTGAGGTTTCTAGGATTTTGATAAGTCACATAACCTTCTGAGTTCCAGAATGACTATTTAAGGTGCTTTGTTAGAAGAAGGATCCAACAGGCAAAATTGCAGAGGGTTATGGAACAATGGAAAGACATTAGCGAGGACAATCTGATTTCAGAAGAAAAAATAGAAAAGACATAAAATGGACATGTCACTAAAAATGGACAAATATCACAACAAAGCAATTTAGAGAAGGCAAAATGTTGTTGAATAAAAGTCACATGTTCTGATCCACCTGAAGTGAAAGAAACCCCTGTGGAGCCCAGTGCATCTGTGGTGGGAGGAACTGCCTGGAAGGGCAGAAAGCAAAGCAAAAGGGCTTGGGGGGAGCAGGAGCTGCCAGAGCCTTCTCAGCGGGAAGCCAGTGAAAGGGTTTGGAGATCAGCCAGCCAGGGGCGGGGCTGGCAAAACCTATAGGTTCCTGTGAATGCCCTAGGATTGTGCAGTTACTTCTGAATGAGGCATGAAACCAGTGAGTGTCAAGTAGACAACTAATGTTGCAATTTAAAAAATAAAAATAAATTTCCAGCCAGGCTGTGGAGCTTCAGAAGCTCTTACAACTGGGATATTAAGGAGGTCAGCCATCCGGCAGGATGTCCCTCAGCACATAGTAACATTAAGTGTGCACCTTCCACACAGCTAGTCCACTGTGGTTCAGAGATGGAGGGAAACATGCAGAAGGAAGTCCTCACTGGTGACGTGGTATCGGCAGCAACCTGGATGCTCAGCACAGGGTTTAAACTAAAATGTACTTTACACAATGCTGACCCATTGGAAGTAATGGAAATGGTTCATATGCACACGTGGATGAAATTAAATGTTTGAGTTTAAATCTTAGAAAAAATAACAAATAAATCAGATGAGGCCTAAAGAGGAAAAATTATTTGCTTAAGAAATGGAAACACACTATGAATTCTTTAAGTGTCTGTAGAGATGATTTGGAAGTCGGAATGGAACCACATGATTTACACTTGAGTTGGTGACTCAGAGATGGAGGAAAACATGATTTGAAATGGTGATAAAGAAAAATATGAAAGAGAGGCCTTTAGGTGGCTGATGATGAGTGTTAATAGTGTGAGTAAACTCTGCGCTTCTGGGTCCCAGGATACACCGACAGAAAGTGCCACACATGCTCTGCTGGCACAACTGGCAGGAACAAGTGACCTCCCTTCAACCCATGCCCTTTACCTAGGATTCCCGGCTGCCCTGTCCCCTCTCTGACATCGTGAGCTGCTTCAGAAAGGAGAATCAGGACAGCCAACGCTCTCCACCTGAGATGCCGCGGTGTGTCAGAGGCAGGAAGGCTTTGGGATCTGAGGACAGTGTGGGACAGTGAGGGACACTCCTGAGATGGCCTCTCCCAGCTGGAAAATGACTCAGAGCCTCCAGGGGAGTTTGGTCATCAGGGAGCCCACTGGGTAGGTTTGGGTGGCAACACTGACCTGCCAGGACACACCTTCACCCCACAGGGTCAGCTGTGAGAACTCAGGACAGAGGGGCCCAGGAAGAGGCGGGTCACAGCTCTTATTTCAATGCAGTGGCTCTGTTCCCGTGAAGGTTTTGGGAGACGTAAGGTGGCTTCAGAAAGCTCAGGCTCCACAGCAGAGTGTCAGGAAGCGGAGTCGCATCTGAACCATACCCAGGGCTCCTGTCTTTACCCTCCTCACTCACTGTACAGAGGAGGGGACACCTCACCTGGGGAGAGGGGATCCACAGTTGGCTCTGCTCCACACACCTGCCCTCCTCGCTATGCTGATTCTGACCCACAGTCCCTCCCCTCTGTCCAATTTAGGGTCTGTGGCCGAGGCAGGGCTGGCTCAGCCACCCTCAGCATCTGAAGGTTCTGAACAAATGCCACAGCTGTCTGCACTGAGAACAGCAGCAACACTGGCAATGTTGACAGCTGGGGCCAACATGACACATTCTTCACATATACACACCGTGAGCATTTTCTGTCACTCTGTGCTTTGTAAGTCATTTTCTTAAAGGGGACTTTTGCTATGCCAGATAGTTTCAATATTTATGTAGGCCAATGCTTTTTTCTCAAGATCAGTATTTTTGTGTCCTAAAACAACTATATATATGTGTGTGTGTATGTGTATATATACACATAACTATATATAACAATATACATATGTGTATGTGCATATATATACAACTATGTGTATGTATACACACATGTATATAGTTGTATATATACACATACACACATATATGTTCATATAAAAACATTTGAATTATATCTCAAAGTTGTTAAAAAAGAATGGCTTGATATTCTAGTGCTAAGGGATGGCTTTATTTAAAACATAAATAGTTTCAGTAGATTCCTTTAAAAATATTATAGCAGAGATTTCCAGATCACCCCCACTCCCACCTTTTTATAATTTTTAACAATTTTCCAGAGTCTTGAATTCAATGAAGTGAAGGTGGAAGAAAGCGTTTAGAAAGCCAGTCGGTACAGGAGAGCTGGTGTCAGGTGAGGCAGAGTGGGGAGAGATGCTCCTTTAAATGGAATCCTCTGGAACCCGCTGCAGAAAGCAAGGGTGAGGTGGGCAATCTTCCTGCAGAGCTACCAGAGAAAGGGTTTAGACCCAACACTCCTGTTCACAAACACAGACAGAGGCATCTGTTTTCTTAAAACAACTCTTTCTATATGGAAATAGAAATAATGAAAAGGGGAAAATTCTGGTTTAATTATTTTATTCAATTATTAACAAATAACTTATGAAACAAATAAAAACTGTAAAAGTGGAACTCAAATTATTGTTTAATAATCTGGATCTGTGGCTCAGATACAGATTGAACAAAACAGCCATAGATGATGCCCCAGCTGTGGGAGATGCCCCAGCCGTGGATGATGCCTCAGCCATGGAAGATGCACCCAGGTGTGGATGATACCCCAGCTGTGGAAGATGACCCCAGCCGTGGAAGATGCACCCAGCAGTGGATGACGTCCCAGACGTGGAAGACGCACCCGGCCATGGAAGACGCACCCGGCCATGGATGATGCCTCCGGCCGTGGATAATGCCCCCGGCCGTGGTTGATGTCCCATTGGTGTATGATGCCCCAGCAGTTGATGATGTCCCATCGGTGGATGATGTCCCATCGGCAGATGATACCCCAGCAGTTGATGATGTCCCAGCAGTTGATGATGTCCCATCAGTGTATGATGCCCCAGCAGCTGATGATGTCCCATAGGTGGATGATGCCCCAGCAGTTGATGATGTCCCATTGGTGGATGATGCCCCAGCAGTTGATGATGTCCCATTGGTGGATGATGCCCCAGCAGTTGATGATGTCCCAGCAGTGGATGATGTTCCATCAGTGAATGTTGACCCCTCTGTGGATGATGTTCCATCGGTAGATGATGACCCTGATGCCCCAGCCGTGGATGATGACTCAGCAGTGGGTGAAAACCAACAGTTGTTTTCAAGAAAAGTCTAGTACACAAGTCATTAGTGAGATTTATCAAGAAAAAAGGGAAATCATAAAATTAATATCAGAAATTAATAGGAAGACATAACCACAGAGAGAGCAGAGATGACAAAACAATGAGTGGAATCTAGGAATACATAACTTGTTTTAAAGCAACATTTTGTTTCACTTGGGCTGGTGGCCATATGCTGCAGTAGCTGGCCACCAGTGAGAGTCTCCTCATGGAGGAGGCTTGGGTTGAGGCGAAGGGTCTTTAACCCGCATGCACAAGCAAGTTCCCATGAGGGGATGGAAACCAGGCTACCAACCAAGTGCTGCACAGAGTTCCTGCCTGTCCCTCTCCTCACCATTTTCAGATGGCAGGGTTTGAGCATTTTAGGGCTTGGGAAGATAATATTACTAAATCTACTAAAATACATCATCACCAATCCTTATGTGCTCTGGCCAGCTTTTGAGCAAATTAACTTCACAACTGAAGTGGGCAGCACTGGCCCATGTGGTCCTCCACTCCTCTTAGAATTTGTGAGCTTGGGGCCGACTGGAGGGTGGATGGTGGGAGGAGGGGGAGGATCAGGAAAATAACTGATATTAGATTTGATATGTAGATGATGAAATAACCTGTGCCACAAACCCTCATGACACACATTTACGTATGTACCAAACCTGCTCATCCTGCACAGGTTCCCCTGAACTTAAAAATTAAAGAGAAAAGGACCTGTGAGCTGATCCAAAGACCTGGGGATCTTTGTGCTTTTCACACTGATGACTACGCCAGTCTGTGGGGAGATGTGTCTGTAACTGGGTTACAGTCCTGGGTTGTGTGACCACGGAGGCCACTTTATAATGATGGACAGTGTCTGGGATCTACTTAGGGCTTATACATGAATGCTGGACTCCCTGCGTGGTGGCAAACACCCCCTGACTAAGAGCATGCCAGTAGTTGCCAGTGTCAGGCCCACACTCCTGGGTTCATGTTTTCGCTTTTTCATTCAGGAACTCAGGAGCTGGGCCACTCATTGGTCCTTCAGGTTCTCCACCTGAACAGTGAGGATAATAAACCAGACCCAGGGATGGCTCTGGTAAGAGTGGAGGAGTCACTGTACAGACAGAGTAGAGTGGGGCTGGATTTTATTTTTTAGAAGTGGACACTGGCGAATGGGCTGTGTAAATGGAAACTCTCTCCTGAGAACACACAAAGCCTTGCCTGCACAGAAGCTCCACATTCACATCACATGATGCAGCCTCACATGAGACACCGCCAATCCTCAAGCACCCAACTCAGTGCCACCCAAAAGGGAGCACAGCTGCTGCCTCAAAATTTGGCCATGATTTTTCTGTGGGGAATTCAGGTTTTTAAAAAACACTTGCACTATGCTTACTCCTATCACAATCCCAGAATCAGGGTGGCACGTCACATTGAAACCAGCTTTTTTTTTTCTTGACAATAACTCCAGAATACTTCCCAGAGTCTCACTTCAGAGGGAACACCGGCACTACCTGCAACGCAGAAACAAAGCTTTATGAGGGGCATGTCATGCTGTGGATTGTTTGCACAACGCTCTGTTTCTCTCAACGAGTATTGTAAACCTGATCAGAAATGTAGTCAACTGCTACAGTAATCAAAACAGCATGGTACTGGTACCGAAACAAAGATGTAGACCAATGGAACAGAACAGAGCTTCATTGGACAGGACAGAATGGGCGGCCACAGAGGCCTGGGATAGATGTTTTGTCCCCGCAACACAACAGGGAGCACACTTCATGCTATGCTGATGCTTACTGAATGGTGCAACTGAGGACTAGGTGATTCTGTTTGATACAGCAAGTCTACTTCGCCACTACAGGCAGTGCAGCATGTTAGTTTATAGATTAGCTTTTGCTGTTAGAGAGATCCAGCTGTGGGTGTGTCTGGTGAATAATTTACTTAACTAAGACTCACATTTCTCATCTGTATAATGAATAGAACCAAACTAATAATGCCTCAAAGTGATTGTGATGCTTCAAAGAGGCAACATAGAGAAGTGACCACATAGTATCCAAGACTCAAATGTGTATCAGTCATCCTTTTCATTTTAATAACTTAAGCAGTTGTTATTCAGGACAGTCATGTGGCACAGTGACATGTTGATCAATGATTACTTACATGGCTGGGGTCAGATGGGTGTACACAAATCTACTGGCCTGCATCATTAGATTAAGACAAAATTTTTGGTTAAAAATTTTAAGTAAGATGCCATACAAATGAAAGACTAACCACAGTGATGGAATTTTTAGGGAGAGAAAAAACTAAGTTCACAAGGATTTGGAGAAATGTCTCCTCACATACGCTGCTACAGGAGCATGAATTAGCATCACCATTTTGAAAAATATTTGGCACTATTCATGACAATAAAAGATATGTTCCCTTCTAACAATCTACTACACAGAAATGAGTGCCAGTATTATTCCAAAACCATTGACAAAAATACTCAAAGCCACATTACTTATCACAGCCATAATTATTGAAAAACAGAAAAAGAAAATTCGATGTCAATCAACAGTAGAGTGGATAAACTCTAATATGTGACTACAGTGGAATGGTATGCAACAAGGAAATGGAAGAACTACAGGTACACTTACGAACATGAATGAATTTCAAATCATAATGTGAGGGAAAAAGCCAGACATCGAGAAACACATATTGACTTATTCTATGTATAATAGTTCAAACCTGGAGAGATCTAAACAAGTCATTAGCAGTCACAGCAGGTTGCTTAAGGGAGAAGGTTAAAGGAGGAGGGAAATTTCAGGGAGGAAAGGGATGACTGCAGTTGTGCCATCTCACCCTCTCAGATGTCAGGGTCCCAAAAGAGGGTGCTGGCAATATTTAGGTGGTTCAAATGTGTCATGAAAAAAAGCAAATGACAGATAGCAGCAAACTCGGGTCTTTAATGAAGTGCCCCAGACTGGATAGAGCGTGCCCACTTAGTTTTGTATCTTATTATATAAAATGAGGATCCTCCAAAGATAAAAATGTCGTCCGTAGCATGGACAGAATTATGTGCTATCAGCACATTTTATCATAGGAGTTTGCTGCACAACTTTTAGCAATCTGTGAATAAAAGGTCCAGAACTTAACTTATAAATATCAACTTAGAGAACAATGGAAGCCTAATATTTGAAGACAGGAAATAGTGTAATGCCATCTTCTGTGGGAAGGAACTCTTGGTTTCCCCAAAAATTAGAGAACTGGAGAGAAAGAAGCCATATCTCAGAATCCGTGGTAGGGGTGGGAAGTGGAGGCCACAAATGTGATCAAGGTCAGACTTCTCTTCTCCCTTGCCTTCCCAGGAGACTGGAGATGTACCAGTGAGCCCAGAGTGAACATTCACTGTGCCATCCACCCCTGGGAGACCCCTTTAAACCCACAGACAGGACAGAAACATAAATGTGCTATAACAAATCTTAAAAGTTTAGAGGGTGGTTATCAATTTCCCCTTGGCACAGAGCAGAACTTTTTCTCTAAGTTCAAGTAAATGCCTGTGAGAGAGATGTTCCCACAGATTCCTTCCTTCCTTTACGGATGACACTCAATGCCCAGCCCTACATCCCTTGTGCATAATCCCAAGAAATGCTGATTAATGCAAACCAAAGGTTTTGATGTTTCACTGGGCAGAAAAGAGCGGGCATACTGCAAAAATCATCTCTAATGAACACAGCACCCTCATAGCCCAGAGAGACAATTCCTACCTTTATGACAATAAACTTTGAAAAGAACAAACCAAACCTCACACACATTTTCATTTTCTTTCTGATTTCATACTCCCTTCTTCAGTCCCTCAAGCAGCGGGGATAACATGAAGGCTCTCAGGAACCCTTTCCCATCAGGTCCTACCTGGAAAGTAGTTCCCTAACTTGGGGGTCGTCTTCAGTGATCCTGAAGACGCTCCCCAGAATCCAGCCTTTAGGAACAAAAACATCAGGACAAGTCATTAGAAAGAGTGACTCACCCACGCCTCTTCCTCCAGCTGAAGCCACGCTGCCTCACACATCATTTCCTGGTCTTTGCTCTGGGTAGACAAACCTTCCTACAGCCTCTCTGGCTGGAGTTCTATATTGGCCAAATCACTTTCTCTCAGGAGACCCCCAATCCTCCTTCCTAGTGGGATCCCACAATCAGGTTTCTATACACTCAAGCAGCAAGTTGGTCCTTCATGAAGTGAGTTACTTCACAGTACTTACTTCTCACCCTCTCCTGGGATAGTTTCTGAAATTAAACAAAAGAAAACATTATGAGGATGAGATTCTGCGGTGCCCTTCACATAAAGCTGTTATTCCCTTGGCAAGGGTAGAAAACTAGAAGTGGTACGGTGGCTGAGCCGTAGGTCAACAGCCCCAAAACCATGAGGATGCTTATGGAACGATAAGATCTTTATTCACAGAATTCACCTTTAAAGTGGATTTAATGGGCAAACACACAATGTTTAACCCAAGGAGGAAAATGTGTTGAGGACAGTGCCTCTGCATTACAGCCCATGATGGATGCTGCCATTTGAAAACCTCCCAGTGTATTGCATGTTAGTAGGGAAGACACTCCCACTGAACTTCACCCCCACAAAGAGAATTGCATACGCTTTACATAATGTACGTTTTCAGATTTTTGTATCAAAATTAATTGAGAATAAATCACAAAAGCAAAATTTCTTTAGAAGACAAAGAAAAGGAGTCTTACATAGAGGTTTTGCTCCTCCAGGTCTTCTTCCTCTTCCCAGGACTGGTCATCTGAAGACACTGGAAGGACACAGAGGAAATCTCAGCACCCTGGTGGTTGGTGGCTGTGAGCTACTCAGGGAGCTTTGCTGGATGTGGGGCATGGAGGTGGGTGATTATCAAGCATGGACTGAGTTGCTGCTGGGCTGTCCCCCTGGGTGGAAGAGGGCTGGCAAGGGAGGGCAGCAGGAAGGAGATGAGACATGGAGGTCTCCGCCTCGTACTGGAGGCATCATGCAGCAACACAAGAGTCAAACGAAAATGGAAACTCAAATGCACACTAAGGTTCAATGGAACCTTCTGCCTCTCACACGTTTTGAAGCTCTTTTAAACAAACAGTATATTCAAGACTATGTCAGTACTCTAGGACCCAATCATGCTGCTGCCAGATTTAGCAACAGTTTCAAAGATGCATAATAAAAACTTGGGTCAACCCAGCCCTTATCTGAACCCAGACACTTTCTTCTATTGATTCCAGGTTTTAAAACTCTTTCAACCAATTGACAATCAGAAAATCTTGAAATCCTTCTTATGACCTGGAGCCCCGACCTTCTCCAACTTTCTGTGGTCCTGTCTTTCAAAACGGAAGAAATTTACATCTTGCATGTATTAATTGATGTCTTATGTTTCCCTAAAACACGTAAAAACCAAACTGTAGCCTGATCACCTTGGACATATGTACTCAGGACCTCCTGGGCTGTGTCACCAGCATGCCCTTAACCTTGGCAAATTAAACTTCTAAATTGGATTGAGACCTGTTTTAGATAACTTTTTGGTTTGCAATGTGTAATCATGGTGGGGTTTATTCTTTAGAAGAGGACACTAGGGATTTATTGTGTCAAACAGAAATAACAACAATATTTATTTATATGATTTACGTCCCAAGAATATTTTTCCATTTATGGATTCACATAAAGGGAAATGGCTGTCACATAAATGGATGTCACTGCAGTTCTGTTTTTTAGACTTTTCAAACCTCGAATAAAAGCTAAGTTGAACAGACAGATGGATTCAATTCTAGGCAAAACAGTCTATTGCAGTTATATACTAAACTTTTGTTACAGTTGACAATGGAAGAATCAGAAATATTGGAATTATATTCTATAAAACAGCCAGTGTTAATCACACGAGAGTCCCTTCTTCAGTCCACCTTTCCTTTGTCATGCATGTGTAGTAATTGCCTAGGGGGGATCCTATCTTTGTACTCGCCAGTGCATTGAGCATAGTGTATTTCAGGAAGGGAGACATGGGCTGGATGCTGATGTGATTTAACTCTGCAGTGCAGAGCTGCAGTGAGTGTGGTGAGCTAGTAACCCAATGCTTTTTTGCTGCCTTAATTGTCATTGTGTCTAATGGATGTAGTTTGCAGGATTTGATCATTTCTTGGTCTTGTGGTGATAAGAGTTTTCAACTATCTCAAAAAATATCTCATTCATCTTATTTGTCTGGGGCCAACTGCTGAGGAATGTCCCCAGCATTGAAAGGAGTTTCTCAATATTTCTAAGTACTGCTTCCTAATATTCAGAACTTGCATTTGACCCTGTTGACAGAGGCATCTGGGGCAGCTCTGTATTATTCACACCAATGGCTGTGCCATATCCTGCAGTTACATTCACTGTTGTCTGCCCTAAGCCACGTGACTGCTGCAGCCATCTTGGAATCATAGACAGTGTTTGGGATCTCCATAGACTCATGTAAATCTAGGACTAGCATGTGTGAGGCAACCAAACTATGGCTCTCCGTGATGGTAGGGTTGAGAGCCATCCTCCTGAGGGTAATAATTGCAGTTCAACAATTCATTATCAATTCAGCTTTAGAGCTATATCCCTAGGTTCATATCTCGCCTCCTTCCTTTAGGGGCTTAGAATCATGGGCACATTCATTAGCCCTTCTGTTTCTCCATCCAAGGAGTGTGTAGATAGCAAACAATCACTGTTTAGGTGAGGTCTGTAGTAAGGATTGAGTGAGTTTATTAAAATAAACTGTGTATTGTAGATCTTCAGAATGGTAAATTAAAAAAGAACTGACTTGCTTGATATCTCAAAGCTTAACATGTTCCAGAGCTGCATGTAAACCCGAGAGATAAGCTCCCAAGTCAGGGGCAATGCCATAATGCACAACTGCTCTGTCCAAAAATCATCATTTCAACTGAACTCTAACCTTGGGATGAAAGAATGAGGTACGAGTGTCAAAAATGCTTTTGGTGACATCCTGATTCCACACAGTAGCTACTTCTGAAAAAAAGAAACAATTTAAGTGCATATTGTCTACTAAATGAGCCAGTGACCTGAGGAAAGATCAACAGATACCTGGTCAAATGGAACAAATACCAGTTTACTTGGGGAGGAGAATTATCTACCATAATGGAAGGTTCTAAGCATGTGATATCATATCCTGTATGGTTTCTTTCTCTTAAATGAAAAGTGGCTCCAACTGAAGCTGTTGCCAAGTAATGGAGATGACTGTAGCTTGGCCTTGGAAAAGTGCTCTGGATGGTGTCACGGGAGACCTGATTTCTGCACTCCTTCCTTCTGAGGAGGGTAATAGGTTGGGTGAAAGCATATTATTCATATCTCTGAACATAGGGAATTTTGAATAATCCACAAAAGTATGTTTAAAACTATGTTTTGGTAGGTAAACTGGCCTAGACATAGATATTATCAGTATGTATTTGGGAAAACTTCTGATATGAGTAGAAGCAACAAGCTCTCAAATACTGTGAACTAAACATATATTCAGGCTGATGTAAGGAGGGAAGCCATGGGAATAGCAACATTAGGTTTCTTTCTTGTGCATTTTCCTTCACATTTCCACAATTCCAGATTTGCTTCAGATTCCAAAGTCTAGAGTTTAAAAGATAATTGATGGTGGAAAGACAGAAGCACAAGAGATGTTCCTATATTCTTTCAGTCAACACAAAGAGGGAAGTTAGGTATGCAGAATCAAATCAGAAATACTGCATTTTACTCTATGGAAAAATAATAAATACAATAGCATGAACAAAGAATTAAAACTATAAATTATGGCATAAGTAGGCAAAGTATTTCTTGAACAACCTTACTACACCAATTGGAAGGACACCAGTCAGTAGGTAAATATGAACAGACCTCCAATATACTTGAGAAGACAGGTATGAAGCTGAGAACTTCTTTAACATTCTGCATATGGAAAATCGGAGACAGTCTACAAGAATGCTATTCATGCTAATAAATTCATCAAAATTGCAGAGTACAAAGTTAACACTCAAAGGGCAGTTGTGTTAATATGCAATCAATATAAATAATCCAATAGTAAGACTACAAATGTAATTCCATGGATAATAACCTCTGACATCATTAGATACTTCCAAATAAATCTAACCAATGAGATGAAATACCCTTAAGCTGGTAAGAACAGAATGTGACTGAAAGGAAGCAGAGAAGGTACAAATAAATGAAAAGGCATCCCATATTCACAGACAGGAAGATAAAACCTAACTAATACACAATAGTACAAAATGATCCAAAGACGCACAGCAACTACTATCAAACTGGGAACAGCCATTTGTGCAGAAATGGAAAAGATAACCCAAAATTTTTGATGAATTCTTATATGTCTCAAATAATCATAATGTTGAAAAAGAACAGCATTGGAAGATATGCATTCATGAGACTGAAATCTACGAGAGGAAAAGATACAGAAACTCAGACAACAGGGTCCTAGCATGGGGGCACAATATTTCAGAAGCAAATATTTTTGTATTTGAGATGACATCTCCCCCTGTCACCCCGGCTGGAGTGCAATGGCGTGATCTCAGCTCACTGCAACATCTGCCTTCTGGTTTCAAGCAATTCTTCTGCCTCAGCCTCCCGAGTAGCTGGGACTAAAGGCGCACGCCACCATGCCCAGCTAATTTTTGTATTTTTAGTAGAGATGGAGTTTCACTATGTTGGCCAGGATGGTCTTGATCTCTTGATCTCATGATCCGCCCACCTTAGCCTCCCAAAGTGCTGGGATTACAGGCGTGAGCCACTGCGCCCGGCCTACGGTATCATTTTCTACCTGCAGAAATTGTCCTATTGCAGCTTCCCTCATGGATGGTGTCCACTGGCCAATCTTTAGAGACACAAATCTCAGCAAGAAGTTATTTCAGAGAGTGACTCACCCAACCTCCTACTCCAGGTGAGGTCACACTGGATTACATGAGATCACCCTGAGCTTTCCTCAGTGTTCTCAGACTCTTTCTAGGCTCTGTGGAGCCAGAGGTCTTCAACAAGGCATTGCTCACACTTTCCAGCCTTCAAGTGAGAAAGAGGAGCTGAAGGAATCACATTTCCACTTTTCCTTCCACTGGCTCATTATAGGTTTCACCTCCAATCCCACAACCCTGAGATCCCAACTTTGATGTGCACACTTTCAGTGAGAAGAGTCCAACAATCACAGCCTGGGCCAGGCTCACAGCAGACATGCAAGACAGCATTCTGTGGGGATGGAAATGCCCTCTACTGTATGGCTGCTGGTCCATTGCATGGTGGCTGTTGTGAGGAGATTTTGAATATTTCATTGTACATATTTAAGTTTATTTAACTATAAAGAGACATGTATATGACAGAAGCACACTAGATAGGACAGCTCCAGAGATCCAGACATGAGGAAGACCTGACTCCCCTATCCTGGTGTTTTTTGCAGAATCATTTGCTGCTGTGATCCTACCACACATTTACGGTTACTTCCTGGGCATCTGCACAAGGGCCAGGCACTGTGTGGGGCTGGGCATATGACAGTGAGGACAACATCCAGGTCCAGAGGGATTCCAGCAGGGACGCGCTTGCAACCAGTGGAAGAGTGTGGCCCTACACACCCTGTCTAGACTACAGCAGAGCAGCAGGAGCACAGGGGTGGGTGCATCTCACTGTCCTCAGGAGCTCGCCCTCATCTCCAGGGACCCTGACTCAGAAGCTGGGCAGGCTCCAGGATGAGTGTGGAGCTCAACAAGCTGGAAGAACACCTTTCCACACCTGCACTAGATCCCAGCCCAGGTGTGTTCATTAAAACATCAATGGAGCCTAACTTGTCCTTCCCAGGACTGAGCTCTGGGGTAAGGACAAATGAGGAAGACACGGTCACTGCCCTGCTAGTAAACACCCACAGAAAGGGTTCCTCTATTCACCTGTGGGAAGACTCAGACTTTGAGATGGAAGATTTGAAACCATCTCCAAAATAAGTGGAAACCGAGATGTTACGGATTCCACACAAGAGTTGAAAGGATGACCTGGACTCTGGGATCAGTCCCCATCCCTTTGCTGAGATCACCCTGCACTGGAACTCATGTCCCTCCCCACCTGCCCTGCTACTTGGGAATGCTACAGCTGCCCAGGCCAAGAGCTGGGGGAATCTGTCCAGTTGAAAAGCATTTCTGGGCCAGAAGACCCTTGGCCAACAGGGTCTACTGAAGGAACATTCCTCAGGAGACTTCCAGAAGAGGTGAGAAATCAAAACTTAACTGTCTCAGCCCCAGAAAGATCAGGCCTGGGACCTCTCTGTGTCTGGCCTGATCCTGAGGTCCATTCCAACTGACTTGTGTCCTATCTGCTCTGTGTCAGAAAAATGGCGACCTGATTCCTGTTCTGCCCCTCTCAGCAATTTCTGCTGGTGTCATTGCCATCATCACACAAAGAGATGGAAAAGACATGGGTCAGGAAGGAAGCTCCTTTCTCAAGGCATTTAGAGTGATGTTCACATCAAGTTTTCGACAGAGAGGAAGGCCAAGTCCTACTCACTCCTCCCCAGAAGGGGGTCTCATATCCTGCCTGGGCCCCGGTGATGATGCTGAACTGATGCCCCTAACATTGCAACCTTGACATTCTCCTTTAACAATGTCCCAAATGTCCTCATTTTTTCCCCTCTGATCCTCTAAATCATGTTGCCCTTCAGGTCTAGCACGAGGCTCTCTCTTGCTCTCTCCCTTGGAGACCACTAAGCAGCTGTCCATGAATTCTGAAAACCTCAATGTCAGTAACACTGACATTTTCCTTGACTCACACTCATTAGCACCCGTGCAGCACCACTGGGAATCTTTGTCTAGATTAAAGATGTCTAGGACAATGTGGTCATGAGAAAATCACTTTTGGGGTGAACAAGTGACATTGCCCAATGAAACAGTTTCATTCTTTTGTTCCATTGGAAATACTGACACATACAAGACAATCAAATTTTTCTGAAAAGCAATGCTTTTCCACAGAATGCATGCTCCAAAAAAACCCCTCAAACCATCATGTGGTCCACTTGATTCTCACCATGACCTAAAGCAGCTCCCTTGGCTCTCTGTGTGTGAATGTTTTCAGAAGGAAAAAAAAACCTATTTCAGCAGTAGCGTCAATAGGGCATGATGGAGAATCTCCTGTCCCAGAGCCAAGTTCTTTGTGGAGACATCTGTTTCTCACACCACGCCCCAGATCCTCACACCTATCAGGAACCTGAAGCCAGGGGGTCCTCTAGACATAAGCAAGCAAGAAAACCCCCCGACTCATCACGTAGATTTGTCATTAGGAAGAAAGTGGTATTAGAATATGTACAATGTTAGTGAGGGGAACAACACACACTGGGGCCTGCTGAGGGGGAAGTGGGAGAGACAGCATCAGAATAAGGGCTAATGTATGCGGGGCTTAATACCTAGGTGATGGGTTGACGGGTGCAGCAAACCATGCCACACTTTTACCTATGTAACAAACCTGCACATCCTGCACATGTATCTCAGAAATTAAAATCAAATTTAAATTAAAAAAGAAATTGCCAGAGTAGGCAAGTCTAGAAAAACAGAAAGTAGATTAGCGGCTGCTGAGGGCCAGGACTGTGGGGCTTGGGAAAAAAGAGAAGTGACTGCTAATGGCTATGGGGTTTCTGTGAGGGGGAATGAAAAGATTCTAAAATTAGATTGTGACAATGGCTGCACCATCCTGTAAATATAGTAAAAACACTACATCACCCACTTTAAATAAGTGAATTGTTTTGCATGTCATCTATGTATCAATAAAGCGGTTTAAAAGAAAAAGAACACTTACGGTGGTCACCTGGGGCTGTAGAGGTGGTCTGCAACAAGAGAAAAAAACACAAAACACCATGAGCATCAGATCATGCTGGGTGTGGCTGGTGCAGGTCTTTTCACTTGGTGACATTAGAAAACCACGTCACTGGTCCCCAAATAAAGCATAGAAGACGCTTGTGGAAAAGGCAGTGGGGTGTTTTGGAATATTTAGCAAATGTTCATGTCAGCTGGCAAATACAAAATAATTTTTCAAGAAGACAAGGGTGCTACTGAGAAATATGCTCACAGCCAGTTTGTAAGTTACACTACCTTTTGACTGACATCGTCAATCAGGCCTCAGTTGCTCATAAACTGCAGTGGCTGGTCACTAGAGTCCATGACAACTGAGGTCTGATTCACAATGCAGTCAAAAATGATATTCATTTGATATTCTAGAAGCCCCAGAAAAAAACATTTTTCTTCAAGATGAAGAAATGCATCTTACCAGGACAGAGGGCAGCTCCTCCTGGTCCAGATCTTCAAGAATAAGGTCATCTAGGACCTCAACAGGACCTAAGAGAACACAGAGTGACAGTCAGTGCATTGGTGCTGCTGAGGGATCTCACAAGGAGCTTTGGGGAATGTGGACGGGGGCTGGAGTGTGTGGAGCTGGGCGGTTCACAAGCATGGACTGAGCTGCTGCTGGACCATTCTCCTTGGTGCTGAAGGAAGGCAAAGGAGAGGGGCAGAAAGAAATGAAAGAGCCTTGGCTTCCTAGCTAGGGCAACCTCATCACAGTGAAACAGTCACTTTAAGAACCGGTGAATACAGAAAGGCAGTGTCCTATAGAAACAGGAAGTAGATGAGGGCTGCCTGGAACCAGGGGTGTTAGGGTTGGGGAAAACAGAGGAGTCACTACTAATGGGGATTTTTGAGGGGGAATCAAGAGCTTCTAAATTTAGATTGTAACAATGGCTGCACAACCCTGTAAATATGGTAAAAACACTGAATCACCTACTTTAAATGGGTGAATTGGTTTGCATGTCAACTACGTCTCAGTAACTCTTTAAAAGAAAAAGAATACATATGGTGGTGATACTGGGCCGCAGGCTTCTCCTGCAATAAGAGAAAAAGAAACACCGTGAGGATGACACCATGCTGGGTCCTGTTGGCACAGGTCTTGTATTCACTTGGTGACACTAGAAAACCAGATGGCAGGCCAGGCGCAGTGGCTCACGCATGTAATCCCAGCACTTTGGGAGGCCAAGTTGGGCAGATCATGAGGCCAAGAGATTGAGACCATCCAGGCCAACATGGTGAAACTTCGTCTATACTAAAAACTACAAAAAAGCTGGGTGTGGTGGTGGCGTGAGCCTGTAGTCCCAGGTACTCAGGGGACTGAGGCAGGAGAATTGCTTGAACCCAGTAGGCAGGGGTTACAGTGATCTGAGATCACACTCGTGCATTGTACCCTGGTGACAGACAAAGACTCTGTCTCAAAACAACAACAACAACCACAACAATGAGAAAACCAGATGTAGAACAGTGATCAAGTCACTGCCCCAAATGACGCATAGAGGATGCTTGCACAAAAGGCAGTGGGTTTGGAACATTTCGCAAGTGTCTATGTTGACTAGGAAATATAAAATTATTTTTTCAAGAAGAAAATGCTACTACTGAGAAATATGCTCACGAGCAGTTTGTAGGTGATGCCCTCTTTTGACGGAGGTCGTCCATCAGGCCTCAGTTGGTCATAATCTCCAGTGACGAGTCGCTAGAGTCCACGACTCCCTGAGGCCTGATTTATGATGGTAGTCAAAAATCATATTCACTTCATAGTCTAGAAGCCCCATACAAAAAAAATTTCCAGACAAATAAATGTATCTTACCATGTCAGAGGCCACCTCCTCCTCCTCACTGCCAAGGGTGCACTACGGTGGGTGGTCAGCAGGAGCTAGGAGAACACACAGTGACAGTCAGTGCATTGGTGCTGCTGAGGAATCTCACAAGGAGCTTTGGGGAATGTGGACGGGGGCTGGAGTGTGTGGAGCTGGGTGGTTGACAAGCACGAACTGAGCTGCTGCTGGACCATTCTCCTTGGTGCTGAAGGAAGGCAAAGGAGAGGGGCAGAAAGAAATGAAAGAGCCTTGGCTCCCTAGCTAGGGAAACTTCATCAGTGTGAAATAGTCTAAGAACCAGCTAATAAAGAAGGCACTGTATGGCTCAGTGAGACCATCTCATCACCCCTGCTGCCCATGTGAAGGTCCACGCAAATCCCTAAATTTTGGGAAAGGTTACAGGATTATTTAACTTCTGTGGATCTACATATCCTGCTACTACATTTATCATCTAACCTGGTGTATTTTTAAAATTGTAGTAAAGTATACATATTTATTATTTTAATTATTAAGTGTGCATTTCAATGACATTATAGTCAACGAGTAACATTCATGATGATGTGTCAATAATGAGAAAAATCTAACTTCATAATCTAGCTTCCGCCTGTGGCAATGAAAGAAAAACAGCAGTCCAATAGAGGAAAAATAAATAATGACTGCAGAAATTAATGGAATAAAAAACAGGAAATCATCAGAGAAAATCAACAAAACCAAAAATCAGTTCTTTTAAAAGATCAGTAACATTGATAAACCTCTACATTGTCTAACCACAAAGGAAAGAAGGAAGTTTCAATGTAGTAATAATATCAGTTCAAGAGGAGTGAAATCAAAGAATAATAATAAAGGAATATTCTGAGCACATCTGTGCTCACACTTAGATACATTATATGAAATGAGCTCATTTTTTGGATCTGTTTCAGAAGGTTAAAATTCTCTTCAGGATTAATTAATCATCTGAATAGGCCTATATTTATTTTAGAAACTGAATCAATAATTAGTATCTTCTCAAAAGAACAAAAACACGACCTTCCAATGATTTTACCGGTAAATTCTACCAAAATTCTTACAAAGAAACATGTAGTCTTACCACATAAGCAAGTAATCATAATTTTAGTATTGCCTTAGTTACATTTTAAAAATTATGTTTCCAAACAAGACACAG